ATTTCAGTCATGTCTGACTCTTCTTGACCCCATTTGGGGTGGTTTGCCATTTCTTCTCCAGCCCATTTTACAGAAAAGGAACTGAGACAAACAGGGTTAAGTGACTTGTCCAGCATCACACAGTTTGTAAGTGTCTAAGGCCAGTTTTGAACTCATGAAGATATCTTCTTGATTTCAAGTCCAGTGCTCTATCCACAGTGCCATCTAGCTGCCCAGATAGAAAGGTATGTGTGTATAAAATATATATGTATGTAAATATGTATTTATATGTATATGTCGTTTGTATGGATATGATGATTAAACCCAGAGGATCTAATGAGGCAAGAGAGAAAGCCTAGTACAGAACCTTAGAGAATACCCACAGTTTATTTGGTGTAATGTGGATGATGAGCCAGCAAAGGAGATTGAGGAATGGTCAGAGAAGTAGTATCACAAAAATTCAGAAACAACCTCATCATCTATAGGGAATCCTTATTTAGTCTGGATGCTATAGTGGACACTCCATGAGAGGGACAAATACCTTTAATAATCATCCATCTATCTCCTTTATGCCTTGCTTTATGTTAACAATAAAAAATATTGTATCTTTCGAGTAATCTTGTATGATTTTAGCATGTACACTGCAGACACTTCATAGGAGAACCTCTGAGGCAGCTTTTTGTTCCAGTACCAACTGAATCTAAATGTCATTATAGTCAGCAAACAATAAGCACAGTGGGATCTTGTGTTCTCTGTACAATTCAGGTAATTGTGTGACTATAAAGATGTGGTCTGCTCTAAGATACTGTTGGTGAAAATTGGTATGTTCTTCATCAATCTATCAATCTATCTTCATCAAAGATGCCCTTGAAATGTATATAGATTATTTTAGTAAAGTTCTACAGTGATTGGAAATAGTCATATGGCTTCACAGTCATATTGTCTCTATACCTTTTCTAACAGTAATGTCAATGTTTTGTTTTGTTTCCTGAACAGATGGTATACTCCTACCAGGCCGGGGGCGGGGGGGGGGGGGGGAAGTATAGTCCAAGATGTCTGAATGAATAACCAGGATCCACTATAGGATAAAACTAAAGGGCTCACTGGAGGTCATTAAATCCAGAAGGCTAGTCAGGACGTATAAAGCAGAAATTTTCCACCCCAGAGTGGGGAAGGGGAAGGCAGAAAGGATGTGATAAACACGAAATAAGTCAAGTAGCAAAATGGAAAAGATATTGAAAAAGACAACTTATTTTGCCTCATGCAAAGTCTGTACTAGAAACTGAATGTCTTTATGTCTGAGACATGCAAGCCATGATAACTATGTTCCCTCTTTGCTCAACTGTAGCCCTGCCTACCTCACACAGTTATGGTGAAGATCAAAAGAGGAGATTAGGTGGTGTCATGGATAAAGTGCTGGACTTAGAGTCAGGAAGAGCTGAGTTTGACTCCTACCTCAGATACTAGCCAGCTTCATGATCCTGCACAAGTGACTTAACTTTTGTCTGCCTCAGTTTCCTCATCTGTAAATATAAAGGAGAAGACTTTTTAGTAAAGGAGACATTCTACATCTTTCAAAAAGTCTGAGGCTCAGGGCAGCTAGGTGGTGCAGTGGATAGAGCACCAGCCCTGGATTCAGGAGGACCTGAGTTCAAATCCGGCCTCAGACACATAACTATCACTAGCTGTGTGACTCTGGGCAAGTCATTTAACCCCAATTACCTCACAAAAAAAAAAAAAGTCTGAGGCTCTAATAGCATAACTGTAGCAGAGACAATTAATTCTGAGCCCCTTGGGCTCAGACTGCCTCAACACTTTTGTCTCCAGCCATGCATTGTGTAAGATGCCAATAGCAATCTGGGAAGTATAACTGGCTGATCAACATAAATGAGGGTCCCTCACTGACAACCTATGGAAAAACTGCCAACCTCTCCAATCTCCTGACTGTAAGGTGACAAACTTCAGAGCAAGGCTCTGAGGGAATCAAAGAGAAGAGGCTTCTGCCAATCCTAGGCTAAGGGGTTGTTAGCCTTGCTGAACAGAGCATTGTATTACCTAGCTGAACCACAGGCTGGGGATATTAAAGACTGCAGCTGCCTCTAAGAATCACCTAATGTGGACTGAAATACCATATCCTGTGTAGAGCCCAGCAACTGAGTAATCTGACTGTCCTACTTTGGCATAGTTGTTGTAGTTGTTGTTTGTCCTTCTTTCTCGAAAAAGGCCATGACATAACTACACATGTATAACCTGTATTGAGTTGCTTGCCTTCTCAATGAGGGTGGGCGGGGAGGGAGGAAGGGAGAAAATTTGGAACCCAAAGTTTTAAAAACAAATGTTAAAAATTGTTTTCACATGCAACTGGGAAATAAGATATACAGGCAGTGGGGTACAGAAATCTATCATGCCCTACAGGAAAAAAAAAGAGGAAGGCAATAAGAGAAGTGGGGGAGATAGAAGGGAGGGCAGATGGGGGATTCAGAATGCATGCCACCTTGGGGTGGGGACAGGCATGAGATGGGGAGAAAATTTGGAACTCAAAATCTTGTGGAAGTGAATGTTGAAAACTAAAAATAAATAAATTAATAAAATCTGAAGAAAAAAAAAAGAAAGAAAAGGGTCATGACATCAGGAGCTATGCACAGTCATCAGCTTCATTCTCTCCTCCAGAGTAATTAGAGTCCAGTGGCAAGACACAGGTCAGGACAACTGGCGATGGCCCTGGATGCCATGGAGACCTTGGCCTTTTTAAGCTAAGATCTTTCCCAGGTCTCAGTTTGTCTGAGGCAAAGCCCATTCAGTGATTAAAGGCTAGGTAAGAATTGAGACTAAAGATGGCTAGTTTGACTTCCCAAAAGAATCAGTCTAGGAGGAGAAGACCTTCCAGGACAAAAACAATTGCTATTTATACTCACTCTGAGTCATCAAAACCCAAACAATGAGACCAGTTTGGTTTCAGCTGTTCATCAGCAGAGCACTCTGGTGAGTCTTGCTCAACAGTATGTGGAGGCAGCTCAGCACCTACTAGACCAACTTGACCCAGTCTATGCTTGGCTTGACCTGTCTAGCCATAATGCCATGCCCTAGGAAGAGTTAAGCTGCCCTTCTAGCAGAGATTTTGTATTCTGTGAAGAGACAACCCAACCAAGCAACAGAGTATCCATCATTAATATCAGCTCCCTTTTTTCTCTTCCTTTAACCTAACTTTTAATTGGGACAGCAATATTTTGAAGGTACAACACATACACATAAATTATAAGAGATAAGATGGGAAAGGATAAGAAGCCAGTCTCTTCTCGTTCTGCATATCTCTTGTGATCAGACAGGTGGCATGAAAGTAAGAATAATTACTCACCTCATAGAAGCCAATTGTCATAGGCAGTCAACTCCATCTAATTGATGCTCCCCAAATCCCATCTTTTCTGTCTCTAGAAAGTATTGGTAGCTTGGGCCTGACTTATCCAAATAATTACCTCCAATCTGCACTTCTTTTTTCCTCAGAAGTAATTTATACAATGGTTCTTCTTGACCTGAAAGAGATAAGACTTTTTGTCAAGGATTCTTCCCATGCCCTTTCCCCATAGCCAGTGGGCCACGACCTCTGAACTAATCTGAGCAGACCTGACTCTTTAGTTAACTTTAGGGCTTCCTTTTTACTGCAATTTAAACAAAGATTGATGATTTCTGGCCCAAGGCAGCTGAGTCAGCTAAAGTTCAGTATTCTGGCTGTTCTATTTACAACATCAGGCCTCAACCCCCTAAAACATACACTGTCTCCATCCTTGGTGCTAAGGTTCCATAACCTAATCCATCTTTCTCCCTTTCACTTTTTACTACATTCTCTAGACCATAAAAGTATTTTTCCTAAGGCATTCCTTTTCATTAATTTTTAAATTTTGTTTTATTAATATATTTTCTTTCAATATCACCTTCATTTCTAAACATGTTCCTTCCTATTCCCCTACCCAAGAAGGCATGTCTTATAAGAAATATCAAAAAAGGGGGGGAGCAGCTCAACAAAACCAAAAAATAAATCTTCTGTGTCTGAAGATATATGATCCCCACTTTTGCAAAGAAAGGAGGTAAGAGGCATACTAGTTATGTGACACTGGACAAGTCACAACCTCTGTTTGCATCTACCTCTCAGGTTGTGAGGATCAAATGAGATGATAATTGTGAAATGCTTAGCACAGTGCCTGGGACATGGTGAGCATTGTATAAATCTTAGCTATCATCATCATCATCATCATTTGTATTATTATATCAGCAGTAAGTTTCAGTTCAACAAAAATGTGCCAATACTATGGTATAGTGGATTAAAAAGCTGGAATTGGAGTCAAGAACACTCAACATCTAATCCTGCCTCAGACATTGACTAGCTGTGTGACTCAAACCTCCATGCCTCAAGAAGCTGCCTAGAGCTTACCTAATAAGTCACAGTAGAGGGAATTTTACCTTGTGACATTCCTAGTGTTTAAGGTTGCTTACCCCTAATTTAAAGAGTGATTTAAAAATGAAAATTCAGTTAGAAGGCAGACTTTTATAAAGAATAGGAAGCCTGGGTTCAAATCTGGCCTCTGACACTTGCTACCTGTGTGAACATGGGTAAACTGCTTAATCCCAGGGTCCCCAAGCATCTCTCTAAGAATATGTAACAGATAGTTGAGGATGGTGATAGGGTGGAAATGAAGGAAGTAGTTTCCAAACCAGGAGTTTCCCTACATACCCAGGTCTGGAACCCCTCCTCCCCCACCCATTCCCACTCTCATTAAAGAAAAAAAATCAAAAGCATAGCTGAAAGAATTCAATCCAAAACAGACTGGTTGGCTCCAAGACTTTCTAATCCAATGGTGGGGAACCTGCAACCTTGAGGCCACATGTGGCCCTCTAGGTCCTCAAGTGTCCTCCTTTGATTGAATCCAAACTTCACAGAACAAATCCCTTTAAAAGGATTTGTTCTGTGAAGTTTGGATTCAATCAAAGGGCACTTGAGGACCTAGAGGGCCACATGTGGCCTTGAAGCCAAAGGTTCCCCACCCCTGTTCTAAACTATGTTACCTAGC